AGCGGAAAATTGTAATAGACAAAAAGAAGCCTGTCCGGCCCTATAAAGTGTATAGAAGAGGAGAAGAGTGTGTCCGTATGAACACCTAGATCTCAGATTAGAAGAATTAAATAAAACAATTTAAACACAGATACCTTATACGCGTATTTAGGAATTTTCGTTCTTTTCCCGCGCTTTGACAATTCCAAAGATACATTAACTAAACTGTACTTTTAGCTTAATTTTAAGTCTTAGTCGGTTGCTTAGATAGAGGGGATTTCAGTGTCGACTCGACTGTAGCATTCTATATTGTTTGTTTATCTAAAGTGTCCTTAACTTTGACAAAATACTTTACATATTTTCAAATATTCAATTCATGTATGTTGTTTTTATCATTTTCACAGCAGAAGAGGAAGGAAAAAGGGAATTGAAAAAACAACATTTTACTGAGCGAGATAGTCCCACCCAGTCTTTATATTCTAATATTTGTGCACCGAGATTTTGGTAAAAAAAAAAGTAAAAAAGTAAAAAAAAAAAAAAAGTGGAGAAGTCCCGTCTAATTCATTCTACTTAAAAATGAAGATTTTCAAATAATATTTTTATCCGTTAACGTGAATTAGAACCGCAAAGGGTACTGGTGAAGCAGAAACAAAAATTAACCTATTTGAAAATTTGGCTTCTAAGTATTGTACTCGGATTTAGGACGGAATGCGTTTTCGTAGAAACTCTCCATTGTTGAAAACTCGATAAACTTCACAGACTATACTGTATGTATGTATGTGCATACATACTATATACACGTATATACTTACATATGTATATCTGTATGTCTGTTTGTGGGTAAATGCGGAGCATACTTGACACGTGTAATTGACCTACTTTCCCTGCTCGAAGAGGCAGCGCGGCAAATGTCTGTATGTATAGGCGAGCATTTAATACATATACATATATATGTATGTATGTATGTATAGACACTTATGTGCATAGATACATAGTATATACAAACGTCTGGAGTGTTGGTAAAGCGATGACTTGGTCCGTCAGCGTTGCTGATATGGCTAGCACCAGCCAACAATTTCAATTCCATAGATACGCGATGTTAACATTGGGCGCGTTGAAATAACCGCAGAGCGCACACATACATGTACCCATAAATACATAGATACATGCAAACATACACACATCTATATGTGTGTACGAATGAATATGTGTTAGGGTGTGTGTGTAAAGACTTAGATACTCGTGCAAGCCAGATAGAAGCTCTATAGTGCGTGCCGATACAGAAACACATACTGAGAGGCAGAGAGTGAGTGAGGGAGAGAGAGAGAGAGAGAGTGAGAGAGAGGGGGGCAAATGGGGCCAATGCTTGACTCAACAGCTGTGCAGTGGGCATGGAAATTTTTCAATATCTCTAGCATTAGCTATTAATATGTTAATGGGCCCCAATTTGCGTTCATTTGCGAGTACGTATGCATGTGCAAGCATATTGGAAAATAGGAAATTATGTTTCTACGAACGAAAAAAGTACACACACACACACACAGATGCGCGCGCGAACACACATAGGCACAAAGCAACGGCAGCAAAGCTTTTATAATAACAAAAGCTTACCAAAGCTCAAATAGTTTCTAATACATACATATGTGGGAACGGCAGAGCACACACACACACACACACACACTCACTCGCGCTGTGAAGCTGCTTTGTCGCTTCGAACGCGCTGCTCTTTTTTATATAAGCAACAAATAGTTTGTGGCGCTGACGACGACGCTGACGACGACCTATTTATTACAGTCATAGTTAAAGCTACAAAAACCACAGAGCAACAGCGACGCGAAAGCGACATGTATCCATAAGATACATGCATGCAATGAAAAAAAATGGAATTATAGAAAAAAATAACCATACTTATGCACATACATATATGTATACTAGTATATACTTATGTACAGTAGGCACACACCAGCACTTATACTCATTACAAAGCAATTACATACATATACATATGTACATACATATGTATATATGTAAATGTGTATATATACTTGTTTGCCTGTGGTGTAATGGAATGCGCTGACGGAACAATGCAAAAATAAAATATTTGAAAAATTACTTATAAGAAAAATACTCGTATATACACGAACTTATGTATGTATTTAAAATGAAAAAAAAACTCAACAACGCGAACGCACAAACATGCAAAGAGCGCACAAATTGCTATCAGTCGCCCAATTGGCGACAACAACGGCGGCGACGATGGAAACGTATCTATGAGATAGTTTTGTTTGTTCTTTGTCGCGACGATAAAGTCAATTAGCACTGAACAAGCGTTGGAGTGCAAAATGAAAATGAAACACGAGCCTACACACACTCAGCTAAGTACTGCCAGCTGAAAATATCGTAATTAATTAGTTTTAGACGCTCCGCGCCCTTGAGCCACCGCCCCCAGAGTAGCTTCAAGCGGCGTGGGTCTACATACTGTACATACATACAAATGTACATCTGTGTGTATTTATGTATGTATGTATGTATGTATGCAACATCGACTAATTGACAAATGGCACTTGTAGTTCGTTTGCAGTACCAAATGACAAATTTGTTCTCCTATTGATGATGAAGCACAAAGAAAACTTTTAATTAATTCCGAGTGACAGCATCGACAGAATGTATCATGTATGTATGTACGAGTGTGTTTATATACACATACATACATATGTATGTAAGTAGATACAGATACATACAGATGTATATGTACACCTGTATAGTGTTGCAACACCTGCACCTACAAGTGTATGTAGTCAGTCAATATGCAATGTTTTTGTTTTGTCAGCAGCGCGTTTTAGTGAGCTTCTGGCCATTGCACACTGGTTCCAAAATGTCGATACAGACCTCTCAGTTGGTACATTTTATAAAGTATATATACCGATCCGGCCACACCCACTCGCAGCGACCATCAGATCATATAACATGAGTTTTGTCTTAGAGAACAGTTTCAGTTTCGGTTACCAATTAATATAATTATTTACACTATCCCCGGTTAACAGAGGCTATATTATATTTACAAAAAAGATAGGGATCCAATTATCAAAACGCAAGTAATGTAACCCAAGGTGTAAAAAAATTAGCTAACAAATTCCTGAATAGAATGCTGTTAATTCAGAATCATCCTCGAAACATTATGGCACTTTAAATATTAAGGCAATATTATTCAAAAGTCCCTAGCCAACCAAAAGATTACAAATCGATCGACGCCGTGACTAAAAAACACAGTCTATATAAATTCACTAAACCCTTCTGGACTGCCGACACATCACACATTGAAATTAATCTTCTATATTCTTAAAGATAATTCTTTTAAGCTTTTCATACATATGTGAATAAAATTTTCCGAAAAATTGTGCAAAAGCGAGGGAAAAAAGCAATATATTCTTCTGTTATACTCTTCGTTTATCTAAATACAACTATTTTTAGTTGCGATTCGCGTAAAGCACTAGTTTTCAAAAACCAACGCATATATATAACATGTACCGCGTGATAACGATTATATTCCACACAATTTGTATGTTAACTTATAGATATACTTAGTAGTATATTATCATACTTGTAGTTATACTCTATACCTGGAAGTTATAAGAGTATATTAGGTTTGTGCAAAGTGAAAATGTAACAGGCAGACCCCACAAAGTATACCCGAATATATTCTATATATATTCTTGATCCGCATAACTAGATGCGTTGATTTAGCCCTGTCTGTTTGTCTGTCAGTTGCTCGCACGAACACCTAGATCTCAGACACTACAAGAGCTAGAGACAGCAAAAGTTTTCATAGCCTGGCAGTGTACTGCGCTACATTATCTTAGTGATGAGATGAAGAGATATAGACATGTTCATACTCAGACCCACTTGACCACAAACCATATACAAGCCAGTTATTGTATACCTCTGCCATAGAAAAATTAATGTAATTTGTTGGACTGGAAAAAAGGGCAGTGGTAAAGGTTAGGGTATACAAGAGTTGGTACCAGTGTGCATTGGCTAAGGCAACTCATTGTTGGCCGCCTATTTTTACTTGCTGATGTAATCAGTTTGGTTGCCAAATTGTCTACAGATACGTTTTTGCACCGCCAGCTACAGTCCGGTAACGAATTCGCAACTTTTACAACATTTACACAACACATACACACATACATACATACATATGTACATATGTACATACAGGTATACTATATACAGATGTAGATACATACATACTCGCACTTAACGCTAAGTGGCCGGCAAATGGACTGCTCGCAAATTCTGCCGTAAAACTGTGAGCATCATACTTGTATATACACATATGTACATAAGTACTATATATACGAGTATGTATGTACATGTAGCTATGCCCATGTATGTATGTATGTTTTAAGGTCCGATTCTTTTGCTGGACTTACCTAAACTTCTAAAGCAATCCCCTAGTTATGTTTGTTTTATGTTTCCCGCTCCATGTTTCGAACCCACAGCGGTTCGATCTGGGTGTGTATGTATGTGTGTGTGTGTGTGTTGACTGTGCTTGAGTGGGTCTGTTATCTCCACTGATTTATTGTCTATAGCATACATTTTTTATTTGTACAAAAGCGCAAAAAGAAACTTGCTGCGGCATAGCCGAAGCCTCCACACCCTAGAGCCGAATCGTGCGATTACGACAATCGTACTTATTACTTTTTACAAATTTCTTCCTTGTGTTTGGTTTTTGTGGACTTCTTAGGTACTTCCATTAATTGTGAGATAATGGCACATTTTCCAGGGAGCTTTATCAGGGACACAGGAGCACATGTCTTCACGAATCTACAAGTATCAGCTCTGTTCCGGCTTAGATTCTTCCATTCAATGTAAGATAAAATAAGTTCTGTTATGTTCGGCAAAGAACGGAAATATAGTTTGGGTCGAATGAGAGATAAGTAAACAGCTTCTTCCCCCAAAAGTGCTCCAATTTAGCATTTTAACACTACAATGAATATAATAATAAGAGGATGTCGGGATATAGTGTAATCATTTGATATTGATATTATTTTTTATTATATTCTTAAATTCTTATGATATTTTTAGGATATTTTACAAAACTATTAAGAACATTTGAATATAAATTCCAAAGCACGATCAATTCAAATACGAATGCGGCCAAATAAGTACATATATCGCCTGGAATTTTTACACAACTACAAGTATGTTTTTCTACAAGATGCATCTTATGTATCTCTCTCCCCCCATTTAATTACCAGTTGCCGTGTTTTGGCCTTTTTCCCGTTTGTATGGACACAACACAGTTCTTATCCACACTATATAGTATATCAATAATACTATTCAATTTACCACTCATACATCCTATTGCCTCATTATCTTACAACGTGTTGTTTCTATAAACAACATAGTCCTAGCCTAGTGTATTGAAGTTTTGAGCAGCGAACAACCATAATAGTCAAACTAGTTTGATTATGTTTTATAAATGCCATCGAATTGATTCTAAAATGAGACTTATTAGGAAACTCTGTTTCTTCTCATAGATTCCCACATTGCTTTATGAAAGATACGAGTAATGATTAAGATGTTGGCCGCGTTCTGTATTGTACATATATGTACGTATATCTACCACTCACAGAATATTAGTAAATGATATGCCATCTGGGAAGAGGATCTACCATGGTAGAACAAAATGATAAGACTTGTAACTCAGTGAGCTCTCTCCCCCTTTTGTGCAGACGACCAATTGTCGACGTCACTCAGTTCTCTCATGGGCAGATCTGCGAATGACCATGACCTTTAGATAGTACGTACGTCTACCAAGAAATTATTCCACAGTCGGAACTGTGTTAAGTTATAATCTCTTGTTTAACGGTTCTACGTCAGGAGTTGCTCAGTTGATCGCTGGAGTAGGACACCTCGATTTTGGGGTGCTGGGTGGGAACGCTCGTTGTCATCGATTCCTCGGCCCGCCGCTTCGGTTCGCGCTCCCGCCTGAACCGCTTCATGTTCGTAAACTTGACATAGATCTTGCCGCGACGCTCGGTCCGGTAATAGCACAATTGCTCGCCCGGAAAGAGCTGCAGGATTTCACGTTCCAGCAGGTGGCTGCGCTGCAGTGTCAGATGGCGGTCGTTGTCCCCGTAGTAGGCGCAAATAAGCTGTATGAGCAGCAGGCGCTGGCACTGCTGCAGCTCCTCGCGTTGTCCGCGCAGATCCAGCAACGACTGACCTTTGCTCCCGCTCGCCTGCAGAATGCTCAGCACGGAGACGTTGTTTTCCGCGCTGCTGGTCTTAACTACTTCCTCGGCTCCCGCCCCCACGTGGGTTTGGACCAGGTCACTGGGCCCGCCCAGCGGCATGGGCATGGACAGTGGAAGGGGCACAGTGCTGTCCATTTCGTTGAGACCCACAATTGGCTCGGTCATCAGCTCGTTGCACTTATCGTCCATCATATCCAACGGCTGGGTCTGCACATTGATTTCACTTGGATGCCTGGAGATGGGGGGACAGGGCGGGGAGTCGCTGCAACGACAGCCGCGGCAGTGCGTCGGCTGCTGTGAGCCGAGTAACGGTATATTCTGCCAGCGTCGCCAACGCTCCAAGTGGTGCTCGAAGCGTATGCGAGTTCCGTAACTGAAGTTGTGCAGAATCTCCGGCAGATGATAACGCCTTATCATTTGCAGCTCCTCGACGTTGATGGCTTGGTCTGTAAATGTTAACCGAATTAGAAATACATACATACATACATATGCGATGGTGTGGGAATAGGGATAATAATAATACTGATGATGATGATGATGATACTAATGATGATGATTGTGTTGTCTACCTTGGAAATGAGGCAACAGTTCGCTGACATTCCAAGACCGCAACAAATCGCGCAGCTCGTTGTACTCGTGTCCCTTGGCCATGTTCAGTTCAGTTTAATGCTTTATCGATTTTTATGAATGCTGCTGCTTTTCCCCGGTGTTGTTGCTCTTGTTGTGCGTATTCCCGTATATGCATGTATTCAGCAGTGGTATGTACAGAGAATTTTTACATCCTTTCGTCGCGAGCGAGAAGTGTGTACTGAATTTGCACGACGCCAGTTCTTACCCTCTACCTGCATGTGATAGAGAAAACATATATACATACATACATGCAGACGTACGTTCGTACATACTCGTACATATGTATGTATGTACAAACATACGAATGCGTATACATACATACATAGATACATACATACATACATAGTACAGTCAGCGAGCGGCATGCATTTTCATCATCGTTTCGTGGCTTTGGCTTTGCGTCGTCGTCGCCGCCGCTCGTTGTTGTCGTTCTCGTTTCTACGTTATGTATACATTGATAGACATACATACATACGTACGTACGTACATACGTAGGCAGTATGTGTGTGTGTATACATCTACATCGTTTTCATTCGTGCTGGCTTTTGTATGAATAATGTGGGTATTTGTTTTTCTGTTTTTGTTGCTTTTGCTATTGCCGTTGCTGTTGCTGTTGCCGTTGATGTTGCTGTTGGCGTTGCTCTTCCTCTTTCTGTTTCGCAGCAGCTGCCGAGGCCGATGAATATGTATGTATGTATGTATACATACATATGTATGTATCTATGTATGTATGTATGCATGTATGTTTACATATAAACATATGCATATGTTTGTATGTGCATACGCAAACAGTGAATGCTTACCACAGTGGAGACTCGTAGAAGCAAACAATCTCTCATTTCTCAGGTGCTGAAGGGGTGCCGGACGAAAACATCTGCTTAGAGATTGCAGGCGAACACAATCAAATCGCTAAACACTACATATGTATGTATATCGAAACACATATCGAACAAATGCAAAAAAACATATACATATGTATAAGTTCTATCTAATACGAGTATACATATGTACATACATATGGGTACTTACAGTCTGTCAACTAATTGTTTGAAAAATGAAAAACGGTCACAAAAATTCAACTTTAACATAAATATTTATTAGGAAAGGCACTTGTTTTCATGTTCAGCCTTCCACAATATGTTTCATAAATGTATTCTTAAATTAAATATTTAACAAAATTAATCAAAAAATATAAACAGAAACATAATAGTTTCTATTACATACTTACAGTCTGTCAACTAATTGTTTGCAAAATGAAAAACGGTCACAAAAATTCAACTTTAACATAATTATTGTTTAGGAAAGGCACTTGTTTTCATGTTCAGCCTTCCACAATATGTTTCATAAATGTATTCTTAAATTAAATATTTAACAAAATTAATCAAAAAATATAAACAGAAACATAAAAGTTCAAAGAACAGCAAATGTTAGGTGTCTATTAATTGTTTGCAAAATGCAAACATTTATCTTGATGAGGCTATAAAGGTATAACAAAATGCTATAATTGGCTAATATTTTGTATGCCCGCCATTAGCATCCATAACAGCCCTGAGGCGACGCGACATCGAGGATATGAGTATTATAATACTCCGGTATTTTTCGCCACTCCTCATTAATTGACATGATTAAGCACGTACAAACACGTGCAAATATAAGTATGTATTTTAAATTTAAATATACATCTTAATATGTACATATGTATGTTTATCTATGTACATATGTATGTATGTATGTATGGAGGTACATACGTCTGCATTAGAGAGAAGAAAATCAATTTTCATGAATGGTATACGGAGTACAAGAATATGTGTACATATGTACATATCTCAACACCTCGATGAACAATAACATCGACATACCTACGGCGGATTTTCCACGTCGACATTTGAAATCTCCCCTTAAAAGTCCCTAAAGACCAACTTCATCCAGAATTTAAAAACAAAATGGTCTTAGTTGTTAAATATCGCCCAAAAAACCCAAGCAGTCTTCTTGAGCTACACAACAATTTGTAAGTATGTACAGTAAGTAGATCTTTATGTTGAGCCACTAAATAAAGAATAGTGCAAAGATTATTTGTAGAACAAATTGTTTCTATTGCAAATATGTAAGAACTGTAGATACTACATAAAAGATACTTTCTTTACTTTTGAACTTATCTTAGCTTCGTCGAAGATACTTACCCACTTACTTCACTTAGTCTCATTATACAATTTTACTCCTCCATGGTTATAAACAGCAGACTATTTTAACTTTAATTCGGAAGCAATTTAAGTTTGTTTTGTATTTCATATTCCATGGTCTTATTTTGCGACCCACGTGTAATGTAAACCATCAGGTTTCAAGATCTTTAAAACAAAAAAGGTGTCCATACAAAACTCTTTCAAAATGACATCGTGTGTATATGGATAGGAGGAAGATATGGTCATCGCGATTCAGATTCGCCTTGTCGTGTAGGTATATATGAATTCACCTATAATATGTGGCTTACTTTGAGTTTTACAAACTTATACAACCAACATGATTAAGTATATCCTTACACTTTTCTGTGAAGAATATGAATATTTATAGGTTGTCCCTTATCACAAAGGATTATTTATTGGGATTCTATGATATCCAGTACCCAAAAGATAAGCCAAATTATTAGTTTAATGCGGATGTATGTATGTAGGAGGCGAGGCTTATTTCAGAGAAGCAGAACTTTATATTTACGCATTTATATATTCATTATGAGAAGCAGAACCACAGTAAGTGTCTTTATTCCAGCTAACCTATCCAGACCCACCAAATCAATTCTTTAAAACTTGTTTGCAAATCCCGAACTTCAAAATATGTAGATCGCGAAAAATTAAAGATTTCATACTACTTGTACCATAATAATGATATGCATATAGTGAGCTGATATTCCAACGATTTCAAAAACTTCCGCAAAATTTTAAAACGTTTCTCGGCCTTTAGTTCTTACATGTTGGATTGGCAAAGAATTTTTCAGAAGATGAGGGATATTTTTGCATTGAAAATGTAATACGAATTTGTAAAGACTCAAAGAATTTTCGCAGCATTCACATACAGTTGTCACACAGGATAGATTTTAAAAAATACTACTTTAAACATTTTATTTTATAAATGTGATTTAATTTGAGTTTATACTTACTATACATATGTTGGGATGGGAATTTGTGCACAAACAATATTTTATTTTATTTACTCTATTTTATGTCAAAAAACATATACTGTAGGTAAATAGTATAAAAGTTATAATAAGTGTTATAAGCTAGAAAAGCCTATGATGAAAAAAAAAACTCATTCGACTCGATGGGGAGATTTTATTTGCCAAATGGCTGGCTATGCCCCAAATCACAGGCAAGTGTAATGAGAGGCGTTAAAAGACCTAAACTATTACAATTTACAAATGAAAAGAGAAGGAAAATTTCGAATTAATTAAAAGCTAATTTATTCAATTTTAAAGAATAAACAAATGAACAAATGAATCTCCAACCCGTGGGGGTATTACCAAATACGTTTTCAATCTTCAGGTACGGGGTATAACAGAGTGTATTTCAAAACTAGAAGTAAACAATCTATGCCAAAACAAACAAATTAAATTATATACTATATATCAACATCACAGATTTTACTGTATTTACTACTGGAGTGCACCAAAGAGGTTGAAGCAAAGGTGTAATGTACTTACAAATGTACTTACATATAGTACATAAGTATGTACACGTATTCCAAATAATATGACCAGAACAATTAATATGAACATATGCACATAAGTATACGAGTATATGCGCATATGTTTCTGATTCTGTTTCTTTTTATATAAAAAAAATAATTCAATAATAAAAAAATTTTCAACACATGAGTGGAGACATGTGTTCAGGCATTGTTATATGATAGGTTCTATGAATTGTTACATGCTGCATGTGTGTGTGAATATGTGTGCAGTACGGAGTTGAGCCAACAACAACAACATCTCCGGCAGAGCTTGGTCAGAGCTTACATTTATGGCTATAACTTACTTTACAATCGATATATAAAGATGAAACTTGACTTACAGACACAAAAGCACAAACCGGATATTATTGTCGAATTTAAGTACAAAACTCCAAACATTACGAGAGTTATTGTACATTACCAATTGCGGGAAAGTAGGAGGTTGTATCAGAAAGAAAAAACATAAATGGATGTTTGGTTATTCTACCTCATACACTTTCTGAGAACCTTGCGTTCGTATGGACAGACGAACATTTCGACTAGTCCTTTCATTCTGATCAAGAATTTGTGTACTTTGTGGATTTTGCCACGCCTCCTTCTGTGTGCTATATGCATACTCTCACTAAACTAATAATCAGGCAATCAATATACATATGTTTTGCAATAAATTTTGCATGTTTTTGGATGGGAAAAATTTAGATGCAAAGTTTGGTGTCGTTCTCACTAAAGTATTCTCCCTGTCTGTTGTACAGTTGATGTCATTTTAAGAATGTAAAATAAAAGGTAATAAAACACACATTCAGAATATATATTCAGATTTTCATTAAGTCTACCATTAAGCAATTCATTACGGCTTTTAAAAAAACGATTTTCTGATCCTTCATAGTCAGTGTGTGTTTGTTGATTTGTAATTCATAAAAGTTGTTCGTGTATTTGTCTTATTTCATTTATTTGAAAAGGGTATGCATATATGTACGTCAAAAGTAGATATCTAATGATATCTGATATCTATCCATTCTGTGATGGCGTAGCAAGGGCTAGCAAGGGGAAATTAAAAAACTAATCGATCAATATTTAAGCATAATTCAAAAAGCATTTCGTAACGTGGCAAGCAAAATTGTTAAATCGAAAAAATTGAAAATTCTTAAATATGTAAAGATGTCCGCTACCGGCTTCTTGATTTATAACTCTATGACTTATTAAATAAAAATATTGCAAAAAAGTAAAATGAAATATATAATAATGTCCTCATCCGACTTATCCAGGGTGTACACCCCGACTCACTTAGGCCCTAGAAATTGGCCCGTTGTGATACCGCTTGGACAAGTCCACTTCCCAAATGCCCGTGGTTGGCTGCATGTCTGCGCGAGTATTACGTCCATCCAGCTGCCTGGATGAACTTGAAAATGTATATCGGCTTTCTGTTTGCTAATGCCGATAGAT